ATGTCAGTGTATTGAATCATTATACTTTATTTTGAAGCAAAAAAAAAACATCAAAAAATATCATAGATACTTGTATACTTACAACTGATATTGTGAAAACGTTTCATGAACTACCACTAGGTGGCAGACGTTACCGTAGTGCAACCCCCGCAATATAGTGCGCAGTATATGTTTTGACCTCGCATACAAGGAAAAACAATCATTAAACCCATGTATAGCGCGCTGACCAATTCTAACAGCTGACCAGCTTTGTGTAGCGAGTGTACACATGTATTTTGATTAGTAACTGTAAGTACGCGTGAGTTAGTACCATTGCCAACTAATTAATTGTATTATTAACATTATTTTGAATACATGCTTTATTCGCTGTGGAATAATAAAATAGAGCGTCTGAGGGATCCATGTTTATTACTCTTCGTTGTGGTTCTTATTTTTTTACTTCCGGTGGTCTGACGACAAACAATGATTACGTCAGAAATAAGATGTGTTGAGGCAACATTCGAACTGAAAATTTCACCTAAAAATACTATTCCCTTGTATAGTGTGCACGTGCTGGTGACATGGCTATTCTTTACTGAATTGCATAACTGACTGTCACGTTTATAATGTTTTCACAGCTGAAAGTGTAGAGTACGTTAAGAGGCATATTAAGGACTCAAACCTTGGCACCCAGAGCCAATTTTCAGAAGAAGAGAACTGATAAATAGTTGATATAGAAGTTGCTAAAATTAAAATGATCGATAGCTATCAATAATTTACAAATAAAACAGGCAAAAAACAGACAAATGATTTAAAAATCTCATTTCTCAAAATGGAATTTCATTCAACAGATTAAAAGATGTGGCCTGGATAGGATAAGCTTCGTACGTTTCATGTCTGCTTCCTTGTAATGTTCATGAACATTAGTGGTCATTGCACCCTCCAAATATGTAAAATAAGAACAATTATAAAATCACAATTTAAAACATTTCGAAAGGAGTGAAATATCCCGTAATGATTAATGACATACTCGTTATTAATACATAGTTCAGATATTTAATTGGAGTTCAAAGAATTTTGTGATGAAAACTTACAATGAAAAGTTTTGGAGACACAAAACATATTGCTTTTTGTTCACTGAGGATACTTTAAGGCGTTAGATAACCCCCCTTTCCAAAATAAGCCCGATTGTGCAAAAATAACATATCTCTTTTTCCTTTTCTTTATAACACAACTATCTGCGATATTTGAAAACGACTTTAATTTCTGACACCCAATAAAAATACAACAGTTGAGATACAACAGAGGCACAAAGCATATTGCTTTT